CTAGAAATTTACCAAAATATCGTCATTGTTTTAAATTTATTTTGATGACCATTCCTGACCTAAAATCGCACGAGAAATCGATTAAACTTGGTTTCAGAACTCAACAATGCTTCCTTATGTCTTAAAATCCATGTTTTATCAATACAATCAACATCTCGATCATGTAGTTAAACTTATTACTTAACGGATTCAAGTATAGTTACGCGGTAGACAAACTAAAACAAAATTAGGTTTATAACCTGCCAGGACGTGCGCCGAGTTAAACTTGTCGAAGGTAATATTTTACGAGTATCATCCGTTAAAGACAAAACACCAGTTTAATTGTCCTTTTGTCTGAACCATATGGTTAAGTGCAAGCTGTATACAATACTTTAAAAAATCATATCAACGAATCGTATCAAAGTCCATCATCAGTTAGTAACAGAGTAGAGATCAGAGCAGAACGAAGGAACATGCTTGCTTGCGGGAATCTTTTCTGAAATATTGTCGACAGGTTAAAATCAATTGCATTTCCGTTACTTGGGTGTGGGATATAAAGCATTATATGGTTGTTAAAAGCCTACATAATACTCTTTAGTTAATATGGCTAATGTTTAGCATTATTTATAATCCATTATAATGATTGATGTGATCTGAAATTAAGTTAAGCTACAGACGTTTTTTGTGACAATACAAGAAATAATGGTTGAGCTCCTGCCTGTGAGCCACTTAGGAAATACAGTATATCTGATTTATTGTACCTTCACTTCTTCTGCTTTTTCGTTTGCTGTCTGTGCTCTGCGACAGCAATTTGTTGCCCAGACTTCCTATCCTCCCCTACCACCTTCTTACCACAGGTTGACATAAGAGCCACTTATATCATAATCATTAATGCATCTTTAACTATAATAATATATAGATAACCAGAAGTACAGAAAAACAAAGCATTTTTAATAGTAAATATTCAAGTAAGAAATGAAGATTTTTAGAAGTTTAGCATATCAATATAATTCCTCACAAATAAAGACTTTAATGTCAAGGTTCTTAATATATTGTTGAAGTTCAAATTCAATTACCCTGTAGTACACTTCTATTATGTACCTAGCCAGCACCTCGATCTTATGCTGGTGGCTAGGTTCGGGGGTGGACATGTGATAGCGGAGTATTCTCGAGGCCATCGTCAGCCACCTCGCGTGGCACAACGGCCCTATCTTGTTACTAGTAGATGCTGGATCAGCGTATCCTAATGAAACGAAAAAATTCTTTAGAAGTTAAAGAAAGACTGAATTTCAATCACAGGTCCCTCAAAAATATAAATGTTTATTGTAATTGTGATTATGAATATGATTTTATGTCATAACATTCGTACCGTCCATGCAGGATATACAGAGTCTGTATAAATGTTTCCTGTCCTCGCTCATTGTTGCGAGAACGGTGTCAGGGAGCCTCGGAAAACCGTTGCACGGAATTCTCTGAAATGTAACGGGATTGCTGATCATAGGCTACCTACCGTTCTTCATTTGTACTTATAACGACAGGCTGGAGGTCTTCTGTCGTCAACCGGGATTCCTCTGCTACGATCCCACTGCCTTGCTGGGATTCCACTGCTTCGCTGAAATGTATATATCTCAAATTGCAGCAATGAATTCAGTGTAAAAAGGAGTATTATATTACCTTACTTGTTAGAATCCTTACAGTAAATAAAGTATAGAAAATCTCTGAAGATCACGACCAAGGCCAAGGGAAACCAATGGAACGTGGGAGCCAAATATGGAACTAATCGAGGTGTACACAGTGGGGTATAGTTGGCAAGTGTGAATAATAAACCCCATGTACAGGAAAAGTAAACAAACCTATATAATATTTGTGTCGCTTATAATGTAGACGATCGCCTGTCTGTACAGTACATAGTAAACTACACATTACACACTACACACCCTGCACCATGTTCATCGTTTTAGTTGTACTAGTACATTATAACAATGTGTGTGCAGCATGTAGTGTATTTTGTACTTTACAGACAGTCGATTGTCTGCATTAAACAAGTTATTGCACCTTGCATACATCCCGACATATTACATAATCATTATTCCTATATACCGCTGAATGGGAGTGAGAATTACAAACCTCGGGTCAGAAAACTTCCCAAGGACCGAGAATCTTTTGTTCAATTCATCCTGGAAGTCGGCGTACGGTGTATTGTTGACTTTACAATTACGGATCTTCTTCATGGTTGCATGAAGTTTCTTCAGTTTTCTAAAAGTAAAAGATGAATGAATAAAAACCTCCGAAATAAGTGTTACATCATAAACAAACAAAGTCCGTAATTTGCTGATACGTGTTCTATACTCACACTTGCTCCCTCAACTTCTGTCTTAATCTACGGATATCGAACGAATTGTAACAAAAAGAATAAAAAATTCACGTGTAAAGTTGCAAGTAATAATATATCTAATAGCTTGATCATATATTCAGCGACAATATTTACAAGGGAAATTGAAACTACATACTTGAAGATGTTGGCTTTACTGTTAAGATTCAGCATAAAATTGAACAAGTTCCTCAGCCACCAAGGTCAGAATTCTGTTAATCTGTACCTTCGGTTGCTGGTCACTGCTAAGAAGTAATAATTGAAGCACTCTCCTAGTCGAAGGAATCGTTTGAGGTAACTCAAGTGGCTCTCCAATAAGGGAGGAAAACTTCATTTTTGAATGGAAAATTGTAACGAATTGAAAATGTAACGATTAAAATAATGCTTGCATTTCTTGCGTCATTTAGCAGCCTTTTTAGCGTAATCTTGATTAAAACTGCTGCCATTGGTCGATATATTCTATCAGTAGAATAAGCTGTTGCAATTGGCCACATATTGTTAACTAATGCACCCTACTAACGCGTGTCTTACTCCGCAAAACCATCCAAAAGCTATACACTAATCCTACCTAATCTTACAGTCAGCTCTAATGGCTATTCTACACTCAAACTAGAACATTCTAAAAGATCAATTATTACGCTGAAACCCTGCTGTGTACAGCTTATTGGCCACTGTGTATGTGCTAGTAGTCATATATGTGTGAAAAGATGCCGATAATACTTCCAGATTAATTACGAAAATTGAAATAACAGACACTTAAAAAAAGCTGCCCAACTGAAATTGCACAAATTGCAATACAACTGCCACATAACACGAGGTTTTTATACATATAAGTTTATTTAACGGGTGATACTCGTAAAATATTTGTTCCAAATATAACCTTCGACGAGTTTAACTCGGCGCAGGTCCTGGTAGGTTATAAACTTACAATTTTGTTTTAGTTTGTCTACCGCGTAACTATACTTGAATCCGTTAAGTAATAAGTTTAACTACATGATCGAGATGTTGATTGTATTGATAAAACATGGATTTTAAGACATAAGGAAGCATTGTTGAGTTCTGAAACCAAGTTTAATCGATTTCTCGTGCGATTTTAGGTCAGGAATGGTCATCAAAATAAATTTAAAACAATGACGATATTTTGGTAGATTTCTAGCTTTCTGCCAGAAAATAAATTTTCGGTTTCTATAGGGGTTTAATTAGGTATAAACTACCGTACAGCTATACTTACACCCACATTCACATGCATGCAAGCTCACCTGGTCCAATGAGCGGGAAACGGAGAGGAAGGTCTGGTGACGTCATAGTCACGTGACCTCAGGCTCATAATCACGTGACCTAAGACCCAATCAATTGGGTTCTGGCCTGGTCAGCCCCCTGTCACCCGATCTTGAGGTGACGTACGGCACCTCGTTAACCCAATCAATGTCTGGAAGGCTGCAAATTTTCACATGCCAAATCCACAAGATTCTTAAAGAGTTGTGCGAGATGACGAAACATAGAGGCCGCAGAATTATGAGGACTACCAGATCCTGGTGGAACCTAAGCGATCCATGATATCACGACAGGCCCTACACTTATCTGCTAGAACATTCTGCCGGATCTATGTTAAACTGATCAACAACTTCCCTAATCCCGTTTAGCGATATAACCCGGTCATTCCTGGTTGGTATGTGTTTACGTAGTTGAGTTTAGAGCTCAGGACTGAAATTGAGTTTCGGTTGCACTTGTAAGAAAGCAATGTATATTTCTCTTAATGTATCGAATTATTGAGATGGTTACATCATCTGACGCTGTAAGACATCAAAAAATTCCAAATAAATTCTACTCTTTGTGTTTTTTATATTTCTTTGTTTTGCGTTGATTTGACTGTTTTGAATAGTTTGCCGGTTTATCCACGCCAAATTTTGTAATGCAGACGTTACAATGCCATTGTCTAGTTTCTACCATTACCAGACGTGAATTAGTGCAACAAATTATCTTCTATTAAGAGCAATTATTTACAATTTGTAATTACTTGTAATAACCGTTTATAATTGCTCGATAACATCCAGTTGGCAGTTACCATGTCATTTTGATTACTCTGCTGCAAATACCGTTGTTAATTTTGATTATTGTGTCAGTTATTACCGTTAATTTTTGTTCAGACATCTGCATCGTTCAGCTGTCTGTTGAATAATTAGAGCAATCGGCAATTAACACATAACACTTTGGTTATCTGTTATGACCTGTGCTACATTGAGGAAAGCTGCAGTTATTTAATTTTGGTTTTACTTCTCCAGATCTTGTTGTATCTGCTCGAGACTGTTAACAAAATCTAACAGTAACAGCGGCTGACCTGGTATGAGCGTTTATCTTGATAAGATAACATCCGGGCACAGTGCTGTTCTAGTTTGATTTATTGTGTCGGATATTATCGTTTAATTTTCCGTCGCTTAAGAGTATGATTATTGATTAACTGTTTAAAATATTTTCTGAGCCTTTAGTTCACCTATCAACATTTACATGCTATTTAAAAACTCTCGTCCGTCCAGAAATTGTTATTTGAAAAGTTTTGGCCTGTTAAAAGGCGACAGGATGCTATTTTCCAGGATGTCATTAATTTTAGATATTATCACTCTTCAGTCTTCCCCAAATAACCCCACTTCTCATTTAGCTACAAACCATGACATGATGAGTTCTCCCTCCCACAGAACTCCCATCACCTAGACACCCGTCTCCATAGTAACCGTCACCTAGTAACGCTCACCTAGCAATACAATGACCCAGTTTGTGGTGGCTGAGTCCCTAAACAAAAGTATAGACTACCCGATAGTTGAAGAGGTGTTATCTGTGGGGTATTACAGTATACTAATGTTCCTCGCTACCTTCGGTACGTTCTATTTTATAATAAATAAACTAAGTAAAATTGTATACAGCAATTTATCGGTAAATATTACATTTTACCAAGTAGTCGCTTTCAATTATGAATTAACTAACAATAGGCTACTTTAGTTTATATAATATTTTTACCACTTAATACTTTATTTTATATAATGTTTATGTATATATTATATATATTTATAAATTATGAAAACTAATTTTAATCTGTCCGCAAAGTAACACTAACTTTTAGCTGAGGTTTATCAAGACATACCTCCCAGGCAACATCTTCATAATCTACGCCACCATGAAAGTGCGCGCCCGATCACACGACGCCATGACAATACTCCTGATAAGAGTACTGGCTTTTAACGATCTGCTGGGTGGCCTGATCCTGTACCCTAACTTTATACTGCTGCTTAGCAAGGGGTACTTCCCTTTCAATGCTACGGTTAGTCGGGGAATATCGGAACTTTATTGCATACTTGTAGTAGGAACTTTAAGTAGGTATTTTATTAATTTGTAATTTTAGTTGGTATTTTGTAACACTTTTAAACACGTATAGTAAAGCAGAATTTCACTTCTCAACAGTCAAATGTATACAACACAACATAGGCCCATGTAGTAACACTTATTCTCCTCAGTACTGTATAGTGTTGGGTATATTCGAGATCTACTGTCCTCTCTGTTCAACCCTTCTTGTAATGGCACTCGTTCTTACCAAGGTTAGTCAAATCTGCTGACCAATTTTGTTGTTGGTGATCACATTTTGTAACAATTACTAGCCTTAATCCGGTCGGTATAGCTTCCGGTTTTCCTATATAGAAATATAGAAACCTTGTTATACTTACTTTAGGTACTTTAGGTTGGTTTGGCAGGGATTGCTTCTGGACAACAGTAACTAGTACGTCCTCCATTCATTCCTGGTTCAGATCTTTCTGTAGATTCCATTCCAGGAGTGAGTTGTTGGTGATGGCGGTGTATCCTTTGGTTGGCGGGGTATCGGGAAACGTCTCCAAAAATCGAGCAAGTAATACCTTGAAGGGTCCTAGAGCAGTTAAAATGTTCACTTGTCGTGGGAGGAGGTTCCATAGTCTCGCTGCATTCACTCCAAAGGAATTCTCGTAATGAGTGGCCACTGATCGTTGCGATTTGTTGTTCAGTGGTGGGACTATGGCTTTTATGCCATGTCGAGCGTTTTCCTTGAATACCATGTTGATGTCATTTGGAGCAAGGTCGTTTGCCATCTTCCATGTATGGATCAGGATGTATCGCTCTCTCCGCCTCTGCAGGGAGAGCAGGTTCAGCTTCTTAAGACGGTCCCAATAGTCCAATTGCTGACAACCTATGATACGGCGAGTGTAGTTCCTCTGAACATTTTCGATTGCTTCTATATCGGTGATTTTGCTGGGGTTCCAGACCGGGCAACAGTATTCTAGCCTGCTCCTCACCATTGTTTTGAAAAGGGTGAGCATCAGGAAATGTGATCTGTCACTGAAGACACTGAAAACCCACGATGCCATTTTCTTAGCAGTTTTCAGCATCTGATGGATATGGGGCGTCCATGAGCAGTCATTTGAGAGGAGTACTCCAAGGTCTCTGACTGTTTGCGTTGGTTCGATAATTTCCCCGTTTGTTGAGCTGTAGCTGTAGTCTTCGTTGGAGAAGGGAAGTTCTCTCAATAGCAGGGATTTATTCAGCTTGTAGTTGATAACTTCAAATTTGGTTTCGTTTAGCTGCATGTTATTTTGCAGGGCCCATTTGATGACATTAAACAGATCTTCTTGAAGCAAACACCTTGCTACTAAATCAGTAATTTTGCTTATAAGCTTCGTGTCATCAGCAAAGACCTTTCCAAGGGCAGTTAATAACGTGTCCAGTTGGTCATCTATATACAGAATAAACAAGATTGGACCTAACACAGTTATTGTGTCAAAAAAGTGAAAATATATTACAACAATAATCCTATTTCACAACAATAATCCTATTTCAGGTAGCAATGATTCGGAACCCCTTCCTCTCAATGGGAAATGCGAGGAAGATATTCCTGGTGTTACCCCCACTTTATATCCTGGGACTTATCGCACCTATGGGAGTCTTCTTTAATATGGGCAATTACATGTTCAGTCCTGAGAGGGGGACTTGCACTTATCGGGTTAGTGTTTTGCATTTTATGTTATTTTATTTTTGCTAAGATTATGTTTGCGTTTCATTGCTCAACAGCTGTTCGAAGGATCAAATTTAAGATATGTTATTTTATAAGATGTTACTCTATTTTACAGTCGATAATACCTTACTAGTTCATTTATCTTAGTTCCCAAAAATTTTAGTGATGAAAAGCGAGGTTTTATTGATACAAACTTTGATAACTTCATAATGTTGTTTTTGTGTATACTTTATAGTACATACTTCATACCGATGTTGTTATCTAAAATCGTTAAATTTCAGTTTTACCCCGATCTACTAAAAGAGAAGATATTCATAATGAGCTGCACGACACTATTTGTTATCATCCCCCTCTGTGTAATAATCAGTATGAGTGTCTACATCTTGCGTTTCATGCGCAGAATGAGGAACAAATCAATATCTGTTTTGGATAAAAACACTCAGGTCAGTCAAATTTCAAACACAAGGAAATGTTTTTACACGTTTTGATTGATTTTAGCTGAGGCTCGAGTGAATTGGCAGCCTTTTTATTTTATGCTGTTTTTGTTGAATGCTGTTGTTGTGTGTATTTCATCCAACACACATTCTATAAAATATTATTCATATGTCTCATTTTATTTTCTATTGTAATTGTTAAAAGTTATGATATAGGATAGACCAGTTAGACCTTCCTTGAAGGGCAAAGGCAAAAAGTACAAACTTTTTACGGTATGTTTAAATGTAAAGAATGCCACAGTTGCATTAAACCAATCATTGATAAGAACCAGTGTTTAACCAGATAGGGACCATTACCATATTATTATTATTACGCAACATCACGTAATATTACGTTAAAGTGAGCGTAATTACAATAAGGTCAATATACGGGGTAGCTTTAAGCATTTACTGCTAGTGTAATTTCTACAGGTGTGGGTTACGGAGGAGTTAATAATTGGCAAAACGTAATATTATATTATATTATTTGGACGCACTTATAATATGTTAATGATTCCTAAGTCTGGTATTCACTGGTTGTCTTTAAGGCTAAAAAGTGCTAGACGCTAGTAGGCAATGCATTATTGAAAGTAAGCAGCATAAACTATAAGCTGTGCTTAAAGTTACGTGTACTGAATGAACTGGAATACTCAGAACAGCATATTGTATGTGAATAATGTTTTCATTGAAGTTGGCGGTCGAAAGACCACCTCATTTTGCTTTCTGCATTCAAAATACGCATCATAAATAAGGAAGAATGGTAACTTCCAATATTTTCAATATTTCACTATATATTTATTTATATTAATTGTATTATGCACTGTGCGGATGTGATATTGAATGCATTGCATTACAAATTGAAAATAGTTTTTGAATGCCGAGTTAAAACTTTGATCAGTTTCCTTACTAAAATTGATGACTACTCAAAAGTCACTCACCAACGATCCAACACAGCAACCCTTATATTCCCATGTTCCGCTAGGTAAAACGAGCAAACGACAAGATACTAAAATCAGTGGTAGTAGTTCTCCTCGTGGTTATTGCATATGTTATTTGTTGGAGTATGTTCTTCTGTGTTACTACTGTTGCTTTCTTGATTGGGGGCGAGGACACTCTACCAAGGTTAGTAGATAATTTGGGAGTAGTAAAACAGTTAAAAGAGCTAGTGAAGATATGAAACCATCTTGTCTGTTCTAACATTTTCTATTTTATCGTGATCCATGATCACAATATTATGCTAAAGTTGAACTTTAGAGTTCAGACACATTTGTAATATATGAGGTACTGTATTAAGCCACATAACCAGTAATTCCCACTCTCCCAGGCAAGTTCTACTGTGGCAGAAAGCCCTACTAATGACGAACAATGCAGTAAATCCCATGGTTTATGTTTGCGGAAACAAAAAACTCCAGTTGGTCCTCCAACAAGTCATATTCCGCATTCGAGGACTGCAAATTGAAAAGGACTTTGGCCAATCTACCGTCATACTCGACACTAAACCAACGTTTCATCAGATTGAGAGTAGAATGACGGTTATGAACACCCGGTCAAACGCAAAAGCTTGTAAACTACCAAGGGCAACGTCTGAATTCTCCTCCGTGGGGAGGATTAAGTCTACAGCTTCTGTCGGATCCCCAAGTATGGGTCGTGTTAGATGTTCGACTACGAATTTACCAGTTGCTGGCAAGGAAACCAGGCGGGTTAAACGAAAGTGTACTAACCGGACGGTGATTGTTCCTGTAGGGGAAGAGTGCGTGCTCAATATTGAAAGGGAAGAGTGTGATGTATTAAGGGAAGAGTGTGATGTATTAAGTGAAAAGTCAGAAATATTTATGGAGGAGCCAGAAAAATTGACGGAGGAGCCAGAAAAATTGACTGAGAAATCAGAAATATTGACAGAAGGGTCAGATGTAGTCACGCAATCTGAAACCACTGAAAAATCTGACGTTGTATGTGTTCCAAATGGGATTGGGCCCGCTCATAGAAACGATATCAGCAGTGATGTGATAACGGAAGAGAGTTCTATTATTCCGTGTTATTCCGATGTGATCCCAAGTGAGGGTTCCCAAGACGGGGCATATGTTGCGCTGGACGACGAGCAGGTTCTGGTTAAGAAGAAAGGTTCAGAAACTGAGAATATCAAATCCAAAAACAAGGATATTGAACCTGAAAATATCAAATTCAAAAACAAGGATATTGAACCTGAAAATATCAAATTCAAAAACAAGAATATTGAATCTGATTACAACTGCAGTAAAGACATCATATTATCCAGTGATCCAACTGATCAAATTATTTTTACAAATACCATGAAGGGGCTAAATGAAGAAGAGTCAGGAAAAGTTAATGGGTCGATTTTGATGGATAGTTTGTAGCATCTCTGTTCTACTTCTCTACCAAGTGAAGTCTTGTTAAAAGTTTTGTAATGCAATTGTGATTTCTTTCAAAACTAAGCTGAAACCTTACATACACATTCTTACATTTTTGTAATCCAATCGTGATTCACTATCTTCAATCTTACAGATTGGAGCTTAAAGACCTTACATACATTTTTAAACGCGTCCACTTTTTTAAGTTACAGAAGATATGAAATGTTTTGAAGAAAGATTTCTGCTGGAAATTTTTTTTGATATGATATTTTCTAATGTTTATTATTTATTAAGACTTTTATACAAGTTGAAAAAGAAACACTATTTTTGTTGAATGTTTTACAAATATTACATTGAAAATATTTACAAGTTTGGGCAAATTCATCACTATAAGCGCTACAAATTTCAAAGGCGTTTCATCGAGCAATGCAGCCTATTATATACAAAATACAAGAAAATATCATGCCCCATTTAACTTGCTTTTCAACGAACTGAGTCTGTCCGGAGCTGAAAGTCCAGCTTTGAAGTTATCAAAAAGAGTTCTAATAGTTGCTTTACAGCATGAAGGGGAGATCAATGTTCTTTTCGCCCGTTCCGAAGTAAGCACTGCCAAACTTCTTTGTTCCTGGGACGTGGTAGAAGGAGTATCTGAAACATTTTTGGTTTTAGAATTTATATTCTTCATACTTGGTTCATATCCGTTAACTTTAATAGGTTAGCACTTAGCACTTGGTTATTTTATCTTATCCACACTAGGTATTGGTGGGTAAAGGAGAAAAGTTTGGAGATTTTGTAAAACTGGAACTGTTATGGACACACTATCAAGATCTGATTAATATTTAGAAGGCCTAGTGTACAATATTCAATCGCAACTAAAATACATCATTGGGGGGGGGGGGCCGGGGGGGCCGGGGGGGGGCTGACCATATTAAAGGATATTAAAATATATAGGTTTTCCCGATTTAGGGGCGGGATATACTTGAATATTATATATTTTAATATACCTATATCCCTATCTTTTCGGAGGCCTAAATCAAAAATAGCTGTCCACAATAAGTTTGAAATGCAATTATCAATCGATTCCGAAAATTTCATGCGAAAATTATTTCAATTTTAATGAAGTTATTTTGGCTAGTATCCCGAACCGAGATAATATGTGTAATTTTGTTCATGAAGGTATTTTTACTTAGTATCCACTATTCAACAGATATTGATTATTGAGCTATATCTTTCGCATAAAGTTAGTTCATTCAAAAATGTTGAAATTTTATGGAATTTTGGGCAAAAGCTTTCAAATTTGGTGCATATGCCAAAATATGGTTTTAAGCTCATAACTCAGCCATTTTTTGACCAAACTGGATGTAAATTCATGTACTACTCCAAAAACAGGCCTATCTTGCAAATCTAAATGTAGAATCACAATGCTGGCAAGCATTACCGTCGCCCTTATATTCACAATACTATTTACCCCCTATACTAGTATATCCCCTTTATTGTTTTCCAGGCATTAAGGGGGCCGGGGGGGGGGGTCTTCATCAAAATTCTCTCGAAATTGAAGTTTTGTAGTTGTTTCTGATGGAGGGGAGTGATATCTATCAGCTGTTTTTGGTCCCATGGAAAAATATTGTTCCTAGCCGAAAATATTGCCGGTCAAAGGTCAGCGCTTATGTGTAATTGTATTGTGCGAGCGATTTTCAATCGCGCGCCCTGAAAATCGAGTCTAAAAATCTATCTTCTCCTACATTTTTTGAGCAATCACCCTGAAACTTTCAGGATATGTTCTAAGGACCATTTAGAAGAGAAAAATGTAGGAGAAGATAGATTTTTAGACTCGATTTTCAGGGCGCGCGATTGAAAATCGCTCGCACAATACAATTACACATAAGCGCTGACCTTTGACCGGCAATATTTTCGGCTAGGAACAATATTTTTCCATGGGACCAAAAACAGCTGATAGATATCACTCCCCTCCATCAGAAACAACTACAAAGTCAATTTCGAGAGAATTTTGATGAAGACCCCCCGGCCCCCTTAAGACTCATCGAAAGTAGTTCAGCAGGTATATTTAAGTTCAAAACATTCTAATTCAATGTTAAAGATGACAGGAATAAGAAATAGTTATGTGCATGTTATATACGCGCCAGCATGTTATACGAAATTAGGTAAAAAACCCAAAATCGCCATATTCAGGTGCCTTAAAAACCATGTTAAAATTGAGTTAGAGATCTGAAACTTTGCAGGGCGTCTAGACCTTGTCCAAATCGACTGTAAAAAAATTTCATGTTTCAGGAGTATCGGGAAGTGGGTTTTCTGGAACCCCTGTTTTACAACAGATTGTCGTGAAGTATATATATATATATCGTCCCATTAGGGACGATAGGGTCGTTTACGACCCACCTTTTCTAGAGGCTATAGAGGACAAACCATAATACTAAACGCAACGAATCTTTCGCACATATGCTCAAAATTTATTGGGCTACATTATTGACTTTCCAGTCGAGACCCAATTAATTACTAACAACTAAATAATTAGGCTAATTAGTCGTCATAATTGGAAAATATTTCACTTTACTTCTTGCCTTGATTGGGACATTAAAACTTTATGTAGGCTTATTTTGTTGAGGACAAAATAGTTGCGGGCAACGATTTCCTTGAGACATATGAAAAGCCCGTGATAATCAGATGTTCACAAACAGAGCTAGAAGCTGTTTACTAACTGCGGTCGCATACGACCCACTCGTCCGGGTCGCAAACGACCCATCGCGGTTTTTCGGCTTTAACTTCTGAAACAAAGACGTTAGGATAAAATAAAAACTGTAGCATAAGTTAAAAACATATGGTCAATACTGTGTAACTCTAACCTTTTAAAAATAAAGAATTTGGGTCATTAACGACCCACTCGGCTCACTTGCTTATTACTACATATGTCCATGTAACTTCTTGAATTCAGCCTAAAGCATGACATCATAAGTTCAAAATCGCCTCTCAGCAAGTGATAATCATCATAAACTGCGAAAAATCGGTTAAATGGGTCATTAGCGACCCACTAGGACCACAAAATTGATTAATTAAATATAATGTTGTCAAACTTTTACAAATATTAGTATAAAAACATGTTATATCTTGGTCATTACTCCTGTACGTTGATTTAACTTTTAAAATCGATCAACTGGGTCAATAACGACCCACTCGGAAGTTGAACCACCTCATCAATTATTATCAGTATCATGCTGTTCCACCATCAAGAAAGACACTCGTAGGTCCTAATTCCACGCAAACCACGGGTGGCTGACTACTAGCCCTTCTGAGATCCAGGGCCAACTGAAGGGCCGTCATCACTCATCAAAGAGCTGCGAGAATAACACTACTGCATATGCCTGGAGTTGCGTCCTGACTATAATACTATACATACATGTTACATGGCGAGATCTCCATCCAAAAGGATTAGTCTGCGTCGACTGCGTCATTACTTTGTATTATACAACTTCGGCGGGTAACATTTCTCCATCCCTTTCGGTCTGCAGCTAATCTTCTCATACAATCAATCGTGAGTCCATTACGATCCAATCTCTGCTCAGCATCCTCAATGAATACATCATTTAAGCTCTTCCTAGGCCTGCCTCTTGATCTCTTCCCATGCTTGGGTTTCCATTCAAGTAAATAGTTGGGCAACCGATCTTCAGGCATTCTACTGACATGTCCAAACCAACGCAGCCGTTTTGTTGTTATTATGTCAGCAAGGGCAGTTATTGATGCCCTTCTTAAAACATCCTCATTACTTACTCGATGGAACCACCTCACTCTCAGGATTCTTCTTAAGCAGTACTGATGAAAAGACTCCAATCTTCTTGTCTGCACTTGAGTCGTGTTCCATATCTCACATCCATAGGTCAGAATGGTAAGAACAGCTGCGATGTAGATTCGCACTTTGTTGTTAATGCTTATGTTCTTATTCTTCCAAATGTTGTTGAGTTGGTTAAGGGGGCCGGGGGGGGTCTTCATCAAAATTCTCTCGAAATTGATTTTATAGTTGTTTCTGATAGAGGGGAGTAATATCTATCAGCTGCTTTTGGTCTCATGGAAAAATATTGTTCCTAGCCGAAATTATCGCTGGTCAAAGGTCAGCGCTCATGTGTAATTGTATTGCGCGAGCGATTTTCAATCGCGCGTCCTGAAAATCGAGTCTAAAAATCTATCTTCTCCTACATTTTTTGAGCAATCACCCTGAAACTTTCAGGATATGTTCTAAGGATCATTTAGAAGAGAAGTATCGAGCCGAATTTTGAGATAGGCCTCAGAAAATTTTTTATTCGATTTTGAAAATCTTGGACCTCATTTTTTGACGATTTTTCCAGGTCCAAGATTTTCAAAATCGATTTAAAAATTTTCTGAGGCCTATCTCAAAATTCGGCTCGATACTTCTCTTCTAAATGATCCCTAGAACATATCCTGAAAGTTTTAGGGTGATTGCTCAAAATATGTAGGAGAAGATAGATTTTTAGACTCGATTTTCAGGACGCGCGATTGAAAATCGCTCGCGCAATACAATTACCCATGAGCGCTGACCTTTGACCAGCGATAATTTCGGCTAGGAACAATATTTTTCCATGGGACCAAAAGCAGCTGATAGATATCACTTCCCTCTATCAGAAACAACTATAAAATCAATTTCGAGAGAATTTTGATGAAGACCCCCCCCGGCCCCCTTAAAAGCTCCGGTTGCTTTTCCAATCCTGACACTTATTTCTTTATCAATCTTGCCATCTGATGTAATTTTGGCACCCAAATAGGTGAATTGAGTGACCTGCTTTGCAGAGTTTCCATCGACAGTTATATCTATGGTCCTATTCTCTGGGAGTGGGTGCTGCGATGTATCTTTCCCAATGACCATGATCTCTGTTTTCTTTGCGTTCATCTTTAAACCCCCAAGTCCACAGTATTTCGCAATATTGTCCGTAGTTTCTTGCAGTCCTTCAACAGTGTCATCCATTCCTGCGATGTCATCAGCATAGTCAAGATCAATGACACATTTTTCCGGTTGTCTGGAACTTTGTCTGTACTGAAGTGTAAAACCACGGGATATATTCTTAAACTTCTCTGCAAGTTCTAATCCCCAGTTAAGTACAAGATTAAAAATAGGGGGCCCTTGCACATCACCTTGTCCAGTCCCCGAATCGACATCAAACCATCTTGTCAATTCTCCATTGACACGAACTGCACTTTCAGTTGCTCTAAAGAACGCTTTGAAAACATTGATATATTTTGTCGGAAGACCATAATGTTCAAAAGCTTTCCAAATAAAGTCACGATTGATTGAATCAAAAGCAGCTTTAAAATCAATAAAGTTTATGTACAAAGGGACGTTGAATTCTATACAATTGTGTATTATACAATGAAGTGAGTACAGCTGATCTATACAAGAACGGTTTCTCCTGAAACCACACTGATTCTCTCTGAGTAATTTTTCAAGCCCATTACTCAGTCTTTTTAACAACACAATTTGGAATAACTTTGATATAGTTGAGCGTAAAGTTATACCTCTGTTATTGTTGCAATATGTGAGGTCCCCTTTCTTTGGGATGATGGTGATTATTCCTTTTCTCCAATCATTAGGAATATCCTCACTTTTCCACACAGTTTCAAAAATATCCTTTAACCAAGGCAGAAGTCCAGGAGAACCGTACTTTAACTGCTCATTTGAAATTTCATCAATTCCAGCACTCTTGTAGTTCTTCAACTTCTTGATAGCTTCCTCAATTTCAAACAAGGACGGTGGTTCATCATCATTACTAAGGTATTCAAAAGAAAGTAACTTTTCATCCTGATCCAATATAGCTGCATTTGCTGCTGGCGTCAAGAGTTCTTCAAAATATTCGGCCCAGCGATGTGATTGAGCTTCGGGATCTGATATAAGCGTCCCATTCTTATCCCGCACTGCCGCAGATCTGTTTACCCTCTTGTTTGTTAGGGATTTTATTTTCTGCCAAACATCTCTTTGTTGACCCTGCTTGGCAGCATCTTCTAATTCCTCAGCTATTCTAACAGCCCAAGCATTATCATCTCTTTTACAGTTCTGCCTAACAAGACCGTTAATCCGCGAGTACTTAGCACGGTTCTCAGCAGTACTGGGTTTCTTTTTAATCTCCCCTCGTTCTTTTAGGAGATTCTTAGTATCCCTTGAGAGATGTTCTGTTCTCTTTTTCCGGCCCCTTTCACCCAGAACTTCAAATGAAACATCAGTTATTATATCTCTTAAATTTTGCCACTGTTCTTCTAAAGGAGAGTTTTCATGCTCCTGATCGTTGTTATAGTACTCTTCAGCTATTCTGTTACTATATTCCTGGCTCTTAGATCTATCACGCAGGTGCTCTAAAACAGGCTGTCTTACACGCTTCTTTCTTTTCTGAGGACACTTAAGTTTAATAGATACATATCCTCTAACCAGATAGTGAGTAGTATTTATATCTGCTCCTCTCATGCTCCTGACATCAAGCAAAGAATGGCTCCATCTCGTCGAAATACACATATGGTCAATTTGAGTGACGGTGTTACCATTTGGGGATCTCCATGTTGTCTTGTGGATATCCTTGTGTTCAAAGAGTGTGCCTCCAATCGTCAGCTGGTGCATAGTACAGAAATCTAGCATCCGTTTTCCGTTATCATTTGATTCTGTGTGATATGAGTGTTTTCCTATAACACCAGGGTGAGCATCAGTATCCCTTCCAACACGAGCATTAAAATCTCCTAAAACTATTTTTATATCATGAGCAGGTAGTCCCGATTGAACATCATTCAATTCCTTGTAGAATGAGTCTTTTAAACTGATTTCTGCATCCTCAGTTGGAGCATACACAACTGTAACACTAATGTTGATGTGTTTGCTATGTAAACGGGCAGTCATAACCCGTCCTGATACAGGGGTGTATGATATGAGAGTATTCTTCATCTTTTTGGAAAGAACAACACCAACTCCTTCTCTCCGTACTCCATCGCTCCTGCCAGAATAAACCAAAACAGCACCATTGCTCAAAGTCTGAGTTCCTGATCCAATAATATATAATACTATGGTGCGTGGAAATCTGTACCGAAAGGACCGTGGCCGTGCCGCAAAAGAAAAGGAATCGGCCCTCGTTCCTAACTTGCTAGGTAATAGCCATGCTGTTGTTGTTGCTTATTAGATTCTGTTACCTTTTTCGTCAATTTCGAATCTTGGTAAACGACCTGCTACAACCCACCGCTTGAGACCCAGGGTCCCACGGTGATCAGATCATGTCACTCAAGGAAAATCCCCTGAACGAAGTATACGAGATATCATGTAACCTTGGGTAAATACTGAAAGACGAGTGGTCAAATTGCATATTCTAATCCAACATGCCAATATGTTTTTTTTCATTCCTAGAAAGTACGAGAATAACTAAACAACTGCTGCATTCAGATGGCTACATCTACAGCTCTGTGAAGAAGGACAAGGAAAAAGCCCCCCCCCCCCCCCCCCCCCCCCCCCCCCCCCATTTGGCTGGTGGTGCTGCAACCTGCAATCTCTCAGACAACTACCTCGTTTTGGGTAACAAACCCCGCAAAAACGAGGCAGCTTTCAAAACGAAAACAAGTATTACGTAATCGGCCGAGAGGGAGGGGAGTTTCCAAATGATTAAGCTTGTGTAATTTTGACATAATAGCTATGTGGTGGGGGGGGGGGCGTAAAAATTGTCCAATAAGTGATTACGTAATATATGAACGGCCCCTAAGAAGTAAAGAAAGGGAGCTGCGAAGAGAGTAGATGCAGCCATCTGAAATCTGAATCCATCAGTTGTATAGTTCTTCTTGGACGTTCTAGGAATCGGGAAAAGATAGGCATGTTGTTTGCTGTCTCACGACATTACGGTCGTGTACTAACAGCTGATAAACTCACCTACCTATCAATCCAATTCTGCCCATTATTCGTCAGTCATTGGGTGACGTGATCTGCAGATTACCGTGAGACTCCAGATCTCAGAAGGGCTAGTAGTCAGCCACCCGTGGTTTGCGTGGAATTAAGACCTACGAGTGTCTTTATTGATGGTAGAACAACATGATACTGATAATTAATGTCGTGGTTCAACTTCCGAGTGGGTCGTTATTGACCCAGTTGATCGATTTTAAAATTTAAATCAACGTACAGGAGTAATGACCAAGATATAACATGTTTTTATACTAATATTTGTGAAAGTTTGACAACATTATATTTAATTAATCAATTTTGTGGTCTTAGTGGGTCGCTAATGACCCATTTAACCGATTTTTCGCAGTTTATGATGATTATCACTTGCTGAGAGGCGCTTTTCAACTTATGATGTCATGCTTTAGGCCGAATTCAAGAAGTTACATGGACATATGTAGTAATAAGCAAGTGAGCCGAGTGGGTCGTTAATGACCCAAATTCTTTATTTTTAAAAAGTTAGAGTCACACAGTATTGACCATATGTTTTTAACTTATGCTTTTAATTTTATTTTATCCTAACGTCTTTGTTTCAGAAGTTAAAGCCGAAAAACCGTGATGGGTCGTTTGCGACCCGGACGAGTGGGTCGTATGCGACCATAGCTGTATCTTTTAAAGTAAACGAGATACAGATTAGCTTTTTTGGATATCTCATTTTTGCTGTAAAGTGACCTAGTGTGTTAAACGGCATCAAAATCGGCAAACTTTAAAACTCGTCGTCCCTAATGGGTTATATATGATGTATAGACGCTTTTGCAGTCAATTATAGCCTACATTTAAGTGTCCGTAGATTCAAAAGTATAAAAGATAAAGTCATTTCGAACCACAGGTTTTAAAGATAATTGTTTATACTTTAGTTTGAATTATATCAAAAAATAATTTATCTTCATCATCATCACTTGATGACGTCATCAAATTAAGTGTTTTTAAAACTTGATTTTTGACAAAATAATAACTTTTCAAATCGATTTTAAACCATTAAGGAGTAATTTTATTCAAAATCTGAGGACATTTTTGTCTTAGATAATTGTTCAAGCATTCTGAAAATCTACCGGAAAAGTTTCTTACTTTGCTCCTTCATAAAGATATTCGCTATTGAAGTAAGTGCTTTTTTGAGAATAATTTTATAAAAACACAAAAGTTGTGAATTAGTATTCTCTGGTGTTGGGCCATCTGTTGGGTTGTGGAGCTCAATTGTGCTTTTTAAAGGTCTAAATTGTGTTATAGGCTAGTTTTAAAGTTGAAAATCGAAAAGTTGCACACGTGGGGACACGCCCAAATTGATAGAAAATTGCTAAAATTACTGAAAATTGCTGTTTTCACCATTTTTATCAACTTTGGAGTCCCGTTGTGATCCAAGTTCTATATGAAATCTTCTGAAACTTTGCATGCTTATTAAACTATATATAAAATACTGCTATGCAAAAATTTACGGTGATTTATCATTGTATGCGCACGCAACGTCCACTCAAAGTTTGCACGTGCGAAAGGTGAGAATTTTGCTCATTCGTGATTTCGAATATATTCTGCTTTCCCACGATATTTAAATGGCATTATATATGAATTAAATGCCAACTTGAATGAGTAAAAAGTGCCATATCCAGTCTGTTATCGACAGATATACCTACCTGAACACAAGGAAATGTTTTCAAAGGTAAAATTTCGAAATCGTTGAAATTACCCCCTTATTAATGAAGTTTCGACTGTGTAAATTATCTTGACATTATAATCAAAAAGAGATGATATTTGACCAAAACCCATAATCATGGGTTGAGTGTACCGCTGCCAGTGTCTCTCTTTTCCAAACAAAAGGAAATGATATTAATTTGAGAAACCGTCCGCTAATGCAAATTGATACCGAGAATGAAATCGGTCGCTCGCTTTTCCCATTCATTCACGGCTTACGAATTGTAATAAAGCTTATTAAATGGGAAAAGCGAGCGACCGATTTCATTCTCGGTATCAATTTGCATTAGCGGACGGTTTCTCAAATTAATATCATTTCCTTTTGTTTGGAAAAGAGAGACACTGGCAGCGGTACACTCTACCCATGATTATGGGTTTTGGTCAAATATAGCTATACTAATTTTGGGTATATTAGAGTATATCAAAGTATATTAAAATGTAGGTTTTTTCCCGATTTGAGGGCGGGGATATACTTTAATATACTTTAATATGATTATGGTCAGCCCCCATCATTTGTTTCTTCAGGTCAGTCCGATCATGAGCAATGTAGATGTCTAGTGCAGAATCGAGGTAGACATCTAAATTTTCTGAGGTTCACTCACCCGAGCCACAGAAGACTTTTGAGGATGATGAGACCACCTCCTCTCTCGGGGTGAAGTGCCCAGCAACCTTTCGGCAGATCGTGTTCAATGTGCTCCAGAAAATCTATGCTTTGGTCTAGAGTTGCCTGAAAGAGGTCAGTAGATTAGCATTGATTATAATGAAGGCAATTTAAACAGTAGAATCCAAGTAACTGTGCGCTAAATTTGAGAAAGCTAGATTATTCACATTTGAAGATTTGACGATGGTAGCCTATTTAGGATATTCAACAATATCCTATTAAAATTTAGTAACCTTGGCTAGAAGTTTGATCTTGTCTGTGTTAGGTGTATTTCTGAAATGGAAGTAAGAGGAAAGTTTCTTGCAGTCTAGATTGTTCAATCCCTCGAAACTGCGGTTTGAAACGATTTTGCTGGTAGCAGTTTTCACGTAAGAACCTCGTGGCACAATGTGGACTTCTCTGTCGATCTCATCGATGACTGCTGCCAATCTGTCTTCTTCTTTTACCAAAACCTGGGAAGATAGATGAAATAAGTTCGCTATGTCGCGTCGTGAAGCTTTGCAATCCGGACTCCGGGAAATGGCAATTTTGATGAAATATATGATGAATATTATATGAAGAAAATACATACAGAAACAAAATGTGAACACATTATTACAGCTTAAACCACGTTCATCTTGGTCTACAGATTTCCAAAGATGTTTATCAGGGAAGATGTAAGAGCACCCAAAGAACCGATGGGCCTAGTTTTTAAAGGTAAGATGCTCCAAAGTGGTTGTGCCCTGTAGAGAAAAAAAGTTCTAGAGAATTTATTTCGGTAAGAACCATTATTTTCAAAACCAGAAGGTTGACTGCATCTATAGGTTAGATGGAGATTAAACAATTGAATAGCTTTCAAGGTAACAAAACGGTAGCCGGGAACCACCTTGATAAGTAGAGAAATACTCTTGTAAGGAGGCATGCATAAGATTGTAAAAGAATTTTTGAGAGAAGACTTTAAGGAAAGTGGCAGTATCTACCTGTCTAATTTTCTGGTTTGTATATAATTCTGTTGAGTAACTAATATCGTCTTCAGATTGGATCCATGTTATGGCTTGTTTCTGGAGACTCTCGAGTTTATTTGACATAGAAATGGTGGTCGGACGCCAAATGATAGAGCAATTATAAAATTAATTTCGGACTAAAGCTCTATGGCATTTATGACCGGAATCAAAACGTCCATTTACTAATGACTAACGACACCAAGTTTCTGACAAGCGTCATTATATATTCTATTACGTTGGAGGTTTCAATTTAGTTCAGGGGAATCATGAACACCAATGCCCTTCTCGGAATCCACATGTTTCAAGGTTAACTGCCTCATTATCATTAAGTGCCCTATCTATTAATAATTATGAATATTAATTCTGAACAATAATTCTGAATGAGTGCGCGGCGCAATATTTGCTGGTCCTTAGCGACCGTTGCTATGGAAAGCAAGCGCAAATGTTGTATGCAAAAACTTTTTATGATTACGAGTTTCAGCGCGCTCCACGAATAGGAATTATCACAGTAACCAAATTGATTAACGGTCGATAACGTAACACAACAAGGATTGACAGGCAAGATACTTCACTAAAAAGGCTTCTTCAAAGTTCACTCACAGTATTGGTTTCTTCTTCTGCTTCTTCACCTTCTCCGACAACCTTGACATCAATATATTCGTACTCATAAGTCGGGTCACCGATGAAACGGCCACTGAGACTGCGACACATTTGGGCTCGAGAGTCAGCCAGGATTGGTAGCAAGCACCACTTCATGCAGTCCAGACTGAAATCAAAAATATAATAGGGAGTATTAAACTATTAACGCAAAAGACAAAAAGATCTCAAAACTTATGAAAATCCTTTCAGAATCAGTAAATCCTATAAGCTCGACTGGTAAGACTGACTGAAAAAATCAAGATTTAAATCAATTACCTGTACAGGAATTTTCGGTCCTGGAGTTCGTTTCCCTTTCCGATTCCGGATGCAATGAAGTACGATTCCTTGATTCCAACAATCTTACCCCAGAAGTGCACCTCGTGGAATTTCTGAGCATTTTGCAGCATAACAAGGGATGTCTGAAGTGCTGCCTTTTGTTCGGTGCTCAGTAGGATGCCAGTACTGGCAAGGTACTCAATGGAGAGTGTCAGTCCTTCGCTATTCATGGCTACTTTTCTGATAAGATAATATGATAACACGGTTTACTAACAACGAGACAACGATTTTGAGTTTCACTGATGGAATATGTCTATTTAAAATGTAGAGTCATCAGACATAATCTGAAGTCAATGAATATATGAATTAGTCAAGAGAAATTAATGCTACTAGGAAAGGATTGACAAAAATAATTGAACACTAAAATCAATGGTCGTAATTTTTAAAGGAAAATACAAGATAAATTTACAATCAAAAACACAATTCACAAATAATATTCAATTTTCAGAAACACAAAATGTTTTCGCAACGATTTCCATTGTTTGTGTATCGGTTTGAAAATCCTTTCAACAATGAAATAGCTAAAAATCGTCTTTAGGTAGAGCTATATTATTAAAACACATGCAAATTAAAACGTTGAAGAAACAAACTGAATTCTGATAGGGGTTTAAGGAATGCCACGCTTCAGCTGTCCTATCGCTCCACGTATTATACCTCTGGAATTTTGAATAATTATCCCCTTACCAATGCCATGCTGTCAAAACGTAAACTCTCAATGATTCACACTTTGCCCTACTAGACTAGTAAGCATACCTCAAATGCTAGTAAGCATAGTCCAGTTCATGCTCATTAAAACTGAGTTCCTGACTCCACTGATACAACTGACTCGCCTCATTTTCCCACTCCTCTTCATCGGACATTGTCACGTTCAACTCAGGGAAATAACTCGGCCCTGATTCCTCCTTCGTGTAAAACGTTGTGTTACCGTTACCGGTAGAGAAATCTTCCTGGCCAGCGTACATTTTGCGCATCTTCGCTACACGTCGCCGCGCTTGCTGAGATTGTCTGGCTGACTGGGATCCGGTTGCTCTTTTCTGTTTGTACTCCAACAAACGTTTGAGACAGTCATTTTGGGCTGGCTGAGAAAAGGGCATTATTCTGATGGGAAGTGAGGGGTATATTTCACGGATTCGGTCTGATCGCTTTCCATTGTTGATGTAATCAACAACATCATAAAGAACGTCTTTCCGGGACAAATTCTCCAGAGTAAGCTCCCGCCACTGGTTGTGTCTTCCACCAAGATAAGAAGGCATTTCATCTTCGTGAGCTTGCAACATCATGTAGTCTCTGAGTGTAGCCACATCAAAGTCGTCAGTTATCGCTGACTTTTGAGACGCATCTTTTATTAACTGATCATAGTACTTACGATTTCCCATCAGTTTCAGAGCATCCCTCGCTGCCTCTGAGTCAGCTCGTATCATTTTCTTGCCACTGATATATTTGGAAGTAGAGCTTCCAACACGTACAAACACTTTAAACATGACTGTTGGAGGAAATTCCTCTCCTCCAAAACGAAATCTCACTTTAGCACTGATTGTAGGATCGTTAAGAACAGATGCTTCATTAGGGTTCAACTTTTTCAGCACCTCGTTTGTAACCGAGTTCTCTGCACTACAAATGGAACGTTTCAGAACTTTAAACATGCGCCGGTCCCGGAAGGAACACCAGGCACGCTCGATGGCGCGGACGGAGTGTTGCCGCTGGATATTGTACTGGGTATCATCAGTTATCTGTGAGTTGTAATCGTCTTCATCATCCATCTTGGGAGAAGTAATTAGAGTATTAGAAAATAACAATTCCTTCTCATTCATTAGTGTAGTTTTATTGTGTCTGGAGAAGTGGAGATGTTCTCACTCAATCTTAATCGCTAATTTTAATTAATAAATCTATGTTATTTCCACGAAAGCCCTTATATATTAGTTTTGGGGCTTGGTCTCATCAACTTACAATAATGAACAGCTCGCATAAAATCTTATGCCTAATTCATCATAGGCAATTATCATTATAATACAAATTTCAAGTACAAATTAGATCTTTAATTCCGTACGAAAAGGGTTAAAATTTACGATATTTGCACTTGAGCTTTAGTTAATAATATTGGGCGAAGAATAGACTTCATATTACTGCAAATTTAACCCCAATTATTTTCGGTTTTGCCATCACATCTTATGAAGTTAAATAATGATTCTATGCATCTAAATATTGGTAGCTCAAAATGTAACGTCATCCATCATCATTGTTTTAGTGGTAATAATGTCTTTTAACCACTTCTCCCTGAAAACTGATTTTCCAGGCGTATGGATGAGTCGCTGGGCTTCTAATACGTAGAATAAATCAGCGTCTTTCTTGCTGGTGTCAATAGTGAAGTAAACAGCTGCAGTGGCAGATGGGATTGGCTTCCGTCGTGTAGGGATGCTCCATTTGACTCTGAAAATAAGATTTCAATTGCCAGTTACATAACTCAACTAGTAACTACAGAGACTGAATCTGTGCTACCGGTTTAATCAAACTGCTGAAATGATAAAAATGAAAGTTCAACAAACCTGAATTGTAGTTGAGACTCCGTTTTCTCCAAGAAGTCTATACAATAAAGCCAGCACTCATTGACATCCCACTTCTTTACTATTTCATCAACTATTCCGATCCCTGATTCTTCGTTTACAGTGCTGGATGCTACCATTCTATTTCAGTTCATTCCTACAAAAGTGCATAAATTATTGAAATATAAAACTTTTAAAACCGATTATTTGACACCTAAAACATTAACTATGCTTGATAATAAGTGGTTTACAACCGCGTTCTGAATCTACCAACGAACTCTTGAGACAAAATCAGATCAAACCACCGCCTATATATAAACACTAGTGTAACCCGTGCCTTCGGCCGGGACTTTACTGTCACAGTTGCAATGTAAAAGTATACAACCGCATTATATATTTGATATCACGCATAATGCTGTCTTATGAAAGTATGAAAACTCCCTACAGTTGAAACAAAGCGGCCGCAAGAGTGAGCTTTAAGCTTATAGTATTACGTGGGGCTAAACTAATTACGGTACATGTTATCCTCCTCGTTCTCTCTCCCATCCATTTATGTCACATTTCTGGAACAAAATCATCAATTAAACCACTTACCAACGGCCGATTTTTTAAAAATTTGCTTATGGGCTTCATCAGAGTTTTTTCGGCACTATACCGAAAAACCCAGTCCCGTAACTATTACCGTTTTTTTGTATAACCGTTCGGAAATTACACACAGACACACAGACACACAGACATTCTGGTGTTATTAAGTTGATAATCTCAATTTTTCCAGAAGTCTTTTAAAACACATTTTTACCGAAAGTCAATAAAATATGTCCAGGTTTGAACAGTTTGTGTAGATAACTTTGAAAAACTCCTGGGGATGCGTCTTCGGAAAAGTCCTGGTAGGATTTTTCTGATAGCTTAATAACTACACACTGGTTACTGTAAGGAACTATATATTGGAAAAGAAACCTTCATACAATATAAGGTGGTTGGTGAGGATTGGGGCCCATTAACAACACATTCACCCTGAATAGTCCATCTTCTAACTAAAAATTAAATATTTTTAGAAAAAGCAAATATCAAGAAATTTTATAGCTAAATATTAGAATACAAACAGTGAACTTGATCTGATTTTAACTCCAAACTTTTCCCAAACTTCAAAATACTTTCAATTTGCTTATGCATTTAGCAGTAAGTTTTGTCTTGTCCGTTTGAAACTTCTACAATTTTTTTTAAAACCGTTCTAGCTATTATTAAAAAGATGAAATATAATTAACTGGCAAATCAAAATTCTGCACCACTAAGTCTTAGGGATGTTATTGCCAAAAACAGGATAGTTAATGAAATCAAAAGTACAATCGTATGTTTAAAAGGTCACAGATTTGGTTGTATAGATAACATAAAACTGAATCTAATTGCATAAAATCATAAGAAATTGTTTATTTATATTATACACATTTAGTAGATGGTTAATTTAAACTGTATCAATACAAATTTAAGTAAGTCAATGAACACACAATATTTAATGGCGAATAAAATAATATTCAGATTTCTTTTTAAACTGTTCAAATCCTTTTATGGCACGAAAAGACTGACAAGTGTTCACGAGTGTCATTCAAATAAAGATTCCCATCTTTGTCAATAAATCGAGCATAAAATACCTCATTTCGGACTGTGTAATTTAGTTTCTCACGGAAAATTTTACCTGAGTACAATCCAGTAACCAAATTTACTGAGTAGTCACATCCTTTTTCTCTTCCAACTGATTCGCCTTGCTTTACCAATTCAGTTCCAAGACCTTTAACTCGAGCATCTTTTGAAGTACAAACACAAACATCACAGAGTATTTTCTGGCAACCAAACTCATCAAACAAAGTCCACACATCATAGTCGAGCTCACTAAGTAAGGCATCAAAAACTTTACACGACTTTCGAAGGACTGGTTTCCTTAATATCTTAGCTATTCTACCCATACAGGGAAGACAGCACATTAATAATCTTTCAAAATTCTTCTTGAACCCATCATCTTTATCATAAATTTCTGTAAGTCTCACACCAATTATTTTTCCAGAGGAGTCGGTTGCCATTACACAAGACCCTCCATTTATTGCTTCACCAATCAAACTATCCATAAAACTGTTCCGCGTAATACCGATTGACCTTAAAAGTGGCTCATCTGGAAAAAAGTTTATGGCCATAAGTTGTAAAACTTCCTCAGTTCTGTCTGGAGTTATTACACTGAACTGGATCCCAGCCTCAGCAAAGACAGACATCAGTAATTAGTATAATACTTCAGTTCACTTATTTCATCTTTCTAGTGACAGGTACATGAAAGTGTAATCCTGAAACATAATGTAAATTTATAGAATACTTACTCTGCTTTAATTTTAATTAAGCATAATGTAATCAAAACCAATCCCACTTATTGTAACTAAATAAGTTCAGTAAGGGATCATCACTTTTTCCTTTTCATGATTAGATATCGGAGCTTCAAAAGTTTAAAGCTTAAATTTGTAGACTCAACGTCAGACAATAATTATTCTTAAATTTATTAATCAAAGCAAATCTATCAAAAGATGGAAACCCAGAGCGCATTTATTGTATTGAAGCATACAACCATAAACATTGGCTAACCTTTTAAACTGTGGCTAACCTTTTAAACTGTGATTCAAAACCTAAAGCTAAACTAAAACTCAACTGGGCTCTCCTTTGTCACCAAACTAAACCAATAAGTAATTTAAGATTATTATATTTTTCTATATTTGTATACTGTAATTAGTATATTGACGTAGTGGATGGTTGAGGGGGTTTCAAGCACAGGTCACTCTCAAATCCTAAAGATAAGCAGTGGCCTTCGGCACTTGAAACCTCTTCAAACCTCCCCTGATTTATTTATTATTGATATTGTTTGATTGTGCCGTAAAAATAAATATTTGTTTTATTAAAATATTTGTTTTATTATTTCAGCTTAGCTTATTGATTGTATCAGACAATTTGTTCATATTACAATACTTACAAATTCACACAAGGTTAATGATTGCTGATCACACAAAATTGGCAAATTTTTTTACAGGTCAAGTTCCTGATGGGAGGGATAATTTGACAATTGCGAAATCATGCTGATAAAAGATAAACGTTTAACAAGTTACTCAATAAAGAGACTATTTTAAACGGATCTGTAAATGATAGTCATTTTTGGTATGTTTCGGACGAAGTATTAGGAAAGATTGAGGGATTAAATTATGCTACTAATAAAGAGAAGCACAATGAATATCTTGTGTGTAATCCTCATGTTGCTAAAAAACGCTTTGTCAACTTATATAGTAGTGGAAAGTATGTAAATTAGATTCATTTTAACTTGGTTGTCTAGGCCAATAGATTTAAGATAATTTTCTAAACTTTAATAGATATATTTTTGATGATGTGTGATGATGTTTGTGTCATTATATTTTGATTTGATTTGATTTGATTTGGTGTGAGCAATAACGCATAGCAAGCACACCACTTTGTACAGCTGTAACAATCATTCGATCAGTTGCTCATAAAACTCTGATACACGTTAAAGGAGAGAACAACAAAACATGTGCAGCGTTCTAGCTCCTCAAAAGATGTTTATTTCTATTGTTCACCCCAAATGAGTGCTTCACCAATTTCTAGAACAATTTCATTTGTCACGCTAGCCCTGGCAAGCCAACAAGCAATGCATGCACATGCATGCACAGGGTGAGAATCCTTGTCAGGTTTTGCTGGTTCTTCCAGGGCTTATGTCTGTCCGCATTGCACCTCGCGAGGCAGCATTAGTGTCAATAAAAGAATCTTACTTCTATACTCTTTATGCGGTATATGGACAGCTCCTCTAGAGAACCTATACCTGCAACATGCTGCCGTGGGCTTTTCACGACTTCCAATATACCTATCTTAGGATAGAGGCCAGCTAATCGGCTTAGTAGATAGCCCTAAACCGGACAACCGGACCATGACTTAACAAGATCAATGGGACAGCTTAACCTGAACACGATAAGGCATCACTCGGCGTAGGGCGCCGAGAAAGTCTTGTATCCAAAGCTACACTCTTCTCTCGCACGTGCAAAGCTTTATCTATCCTATTCACGATCACGTGACAAGCAACTCACGCATTCACATGCAACTCCACCAGACACACCTCACACCATCTTTTTCTGAACCTCATCAACACACCAGCGATCTGCCCAGCACCACCTTTGGTAATAAACTAAGGAGTATGTCAATGGGGCGAGATCAGTCTCTTTTCATAGTCACACAGGATCTATGGTAGTCAATCTTCGGAGGGGCGCCCCCACTCAACTGCCATTGCTCTTACAATAGTACCAGATGTATCTCTGCATTACCGGGATAGTGGCGCAAACATCCAAGCCTCAGTAGGACTCTTTGGTATTATTGAGTCGCTTGCTCTTTCGAGTCAAGTCAGTAGGTGCTGCACCAAAAAAAATGTATTATATAACTTTGTTCAAATCAAAAATAAAACATTTAAATGAACATCTTAAAGATCTGATAAGTAGCCAGAAAAAAAAGAAATACTGATACACAAGCTATAACAACTTCTTCCATCCGACTCTATCAGAGGCTAAAAGTCTTAAATTGTACAAATCGTCTGTATTTACAAATGGAATGTTCCTACTACCTAAATCAAATTTAATAGTCCTAAGCAAGTTCGACTGGTGTCTGCCTACTATACTCTACCCTTTTTAGTACTCTGACTCTACTGCAAAGTGTAATGCAAGCTGTGCAGGTGAGTTGTTATCACTGCGAAGGACATGTCCGAGCATCCTCCATCTTGCACATGCAACACGCTCACTGAGTGGAACCACTTCACATCTCTTGTAAAGGGTGTCGTTTTTGATTATATTAGGGTAAGTCATTCTGATGATTTGCCTCAGATGCTTTCTGTGGCAAATATCCAGTTTACTCAAACCAAAAAAAAACAAAAAAAACAACAATGCATGCTCTTTAAAAGAGTTTTCTTTTTTTCAATATAGCTAGTAAGAGGGTGTATTTGGTATTATAGTGTATTTGGTATTATTGCGAGCACATGTGTGATATGTAAAAATGTATAGCAAGCAAATTTAACATTTATATAGTGTATTACAAGCAGCTGAAACTTAACTGTCATGACAATATAATAACATTAAAAT